AGCTTAATCTTGTTGATCCTGGCTGTAGGCTGTGTTTCCAGTGAGCAGACATGGGGGTCTCTGAGTTCAAGAACAGGGCTTAGTCTCTTGGTCAGGAAATAAACTCATTTGACTCTCATTTGAATTACAAGTTTTCTCTGGTTTTGTGATGCTTGCATGGCAGCTCTTGCAGTGGAATCCAGTCACGTCTGCTGCTGCTCAATGTTACAGTTGTGTAGAAGAATAGTTTGGGGCTGCAAAGTCCAGCATCCCGTAGGATTCTTCCCCAGTCCTGGTTGGTCTTTAACGTGACCCAGCAGTCCTTAATAAAACAGCAGCTCCACTTTCATTTATTCAGGCTGATGTGGAAATGGGGCATAAGATTAAATCCAAAAACTCCATTGCTTTAAGTCCTTGAACTAACTCGATTCGTGATGCCTCTGAAACCCAGTGGCGGGGGGGGGGAATGGCAAAAGAGATTGGGGCAGAGTCACTGATACTGAAGAATTTCCTGCCTGTGGTATGACCCTGACTATAGGGATTGCTCTTTGCAGTACTGCCTGGGTCCAGAAAATCAAAGCAGCATCAGAGCAGTACATCGAAACTGAGAAGAAGAAACGTGAAAAGGCTTATCAAGGTACCTACCGAGTTCTGTATTTCCCTCTCATCCATGTGGACACATGGGCAGGGCCTTTTCTGGAGGATGCCACAGTGTCTATGTAGGATCTCCCTCGTCAGATCTATTGCCAGTTTTTACGGTTGCAACCAATCCATTTATTTCTGACTTCTTTGTTCACAGCTCGCTCACAGAAAACCTCGGGAATAGGACGCTTGATGGTGCATGTGATTGAAGCAACAGAACTAAAAGCCTGTAAGCCCAATGGTAAGTGAAGGAAATAGTGTCGAATCACTTTTATTCCTGTGACGTTTGCTGAGAGGAGTTTGGTGAATTGGGAAGCATTGTGGTTTCAGCTACAGCTTCTGAATGAATTCACCATTATTTAGCTTCAGAGGACTGAGCAAAGAACCAGCTTTGTGCTGCTCTAGGATATAGGGATTGCCTCACCCACATCTTCTGGACAGCAGCATCGATGTGTGGCCAAGCAGCCTCCAGACGGGGAGGGAGGCTTCTGCACTGCAGAGGTGTTTCACTGCTTGTTCTGTCTTTAGGGAAGAGCAACCCATATTGTGAAATCAGCATGGGCTCTCAGAGCTACACTACAAGGACCCTGCAGGACACCTTGAACCCCAAGTGGAACTTCAACTGCCAGTTCTTCATAAAGGATCTGTATCAGGATGTCCTGTGTATCACCATGTTTGACAGGGATCAGTTCTCACCCGATGGTAAGCGTGAACATTTGTTTTAGGAGAAGAATGCTTTCTTGTGACTTGGGGTACACAGTTCCTCACCAGCAGTTCCAAGAGCCTGTAGGTATGATTGCTTCCTGAGAAATGTTCTGTAAAAACAATGCCTCCTTACTCCAGAGGTTCAATAGCCTTTCGGAGCCAACAGCTCTGGGCAGGCAGGTTTGATCCCACTCTGGCTTTTTTATCAGACACAGAGTTACTTTTTTGTCAGAGGGAGAGACAGAGAAATTGAAAGCATAAGTTTTTCTCTTACTATACGTGCCTGAAAATAAGGTGCTAGGTTATATTTGCACAGCAACAGCTTGATAAGCTTTCTTTATTTCCTTGGTGGTTTTGGCAGTCAGTTGCTTCTTTAAAAAGTTAAGTGTTTTTTCAGGGCTCTGACACGCAGTTGATTACTACAGATTTGCAAGGTATTGCCCTGACCTGAGTTGCCCTATGTGTAACTATAGCTCGGTCTTTTCTCCTGTGAGGTAACGTGACTTTGCCAGGCTTCTCCTCCCAGTTGGACAGCTAAGCCTGTTTTTTCAGTTCATGGTAAACCTTTTAACACGCTCGTACACACACACACACAGATGTTATATATGAAATGGCCACAAAGAGGGTATACAATTTCTGAATAGGACAGTAAACCTACAAGTAGCAGTTAATTGTTCAAGGTCATTGTTCTTGTGTAAAGAATGATATATAAGCCTAATTAAAAGTTGGCTGAGTCAAAATAGTTGAATTTTTTTTTTATTGTCTTTGTGGCACCACAACTGACTTGTAAACGGGTTCCGTCACTTAACTCTGACCTTCCAGCTCTAAGACAGGAGAACACTTGAAATTGTGTTTCTGAAAGGGAACTGTATTTTTAAAGCCCTTGGATCAAACTGTGACATAAAGGCATATTTCCCATCCTAATTCCATAGCATTTTTTAAGAAAGACCCTTATTTGTCACTGCTGGCTGATTTACACAGGGGTGAGGTCTAGTCAAACAGGAAGCTTGGGAGCAGTGCTCTGGAACTGAATACATACTATGCAGCATTCCTGCTTAACCTGACACTTTCAGATTTTCGAAGCTTAACATCTTTGCTTAATGAAATTTCTTACTCGCCCAACAGATTTTTTGGGTCGCACTGAAGTTCCAGTAGCAAAAATCAGAACAGAACAAGAAAGCAAAGGCCCCACAACGAAGCACTTACTTCTGCATGAAGTTCCAACAGGTGAAGTCTGGGTCCGTTTTGACCTGCAGCTCTTTGATCAGAAAACACTCCTCTAAGAACACTTTTTTTAATTTATGAAGGACAACTGAAGCTGACAGCCTGAACATTTTTTTTTTTTGTAAAAGATTCCTTGCCCCACGCTGGTTATTAAGCAAGAGTTCCTGCTGCTTCTATATTTCCTCATAGTTACTGGTTGTGTTTAGTTCCTTGCAGCATTCAAAGTTGTCGTTGATCTATGCAAACACAAATGTTACTGTATATACAGTACTATAGCTCAGTGCCTTTTTGTTATGTTGGAATATCTTGGTTTTGGATGCCAATGTTTCCATTTTCAGGGCCATAAAAAGTATTAAGTAGAAATGTGGCATCAAGATGTATGTGCATTTTACCACTTAGTCTAAGGTATAGACTGAGGAATGGTTTAAGCTCAGCACTAGAATCATTCCATTTTAAATCTGAAAAAAGTGATATCCACTGGAATCTTCCCATCTCAGGATGATAGTTTTAGAGATTAAATGCTGAAGAAGCCTTAGCACTGGAGAAGTCTCCGATATATTGTATATTCATTAAGAATCAAGTGTAGTTCTTTACTTGACTTAGTTCTGCACTGAAATCAGTAACTGCTACTTGATTTTTCTTTCTGCTTCAGTTTGATTCATCATTCTCTGCTGAGACAATGTGGTTGTGAAGAATAACTAGAAAAAAATATTTTACATACTGTGACCCACAATACTGTGGAAAAATACTCTTCAGCTTTTGTTTTTTTCCTAAATGTAAGTTATTTGTGTACATTTCTTTGGTCTTACAGACCTCTATGTGAATCTTGAAGCTTTGATATTGCCAACATGTATATAGAGAGTAAAATATAAGTTTATTAATGTAATTTGTCTACAGATGTTTATTGATGCATAGTGATTTTTAAAAAGTATATTTTATTGTACAGGGGAATGTGAAATAATGAGAAAAACAGGATTAAATTCAAGAAAAGTTTATTACAAGTTTAAAACGTTTGCTCCGGGGAACTCTCCCCCAACACAAATCTGTAAAATGAGATTGGTTGAAAGAAAAAACTTTCTCTTGGCGCTAAAATCAGGGATGGTTAAAAAAAAAAAAAAAGTGTGTTTATAAAAGGTTTGATACATTGTAACCATTTTACTGCCTCCTTAAACTGCTTTGTTGAAAAAGCACAGCATGCAATTCTGAGCAGCGCCTGCCCTTGTTTTCCATGGGCGCAGCAATACCTCCTGGTGTCTGACAGTTTCACACCCGATTGCCATCTGTGTACCCTTCTGTTACAGGGCTGAGTCAACCTCTGTTACTTTTAACAGTTTTCTGTGGTTCAGTATTTCTAATCCTAAATAAAACTAAATCTTGGCAACTCTTGAGAGATTGTGTTTGTACAGTGAGAGTTTGGAGCTTCTTGAAAAAGCACTGCGAAAACTGTTTTCTGGCTTTGACGCCAGAGCTGCTGTGCAGGCACACTAGCAGGGAGACACAGACCATGCTGGAACAAGAGAGAACCTGAGCTGTAGGGCACTGACAGCATTCGTTGCTCAGCACTGACCCTCTGAAAAGTACTAGACATCTCCTCTCCCCTAATTATGTCCTGCCTTCTCAGAACACTCAATATGCATGTTAAAGTTTGATTCACTGCTTGTACACTGCCCCCAGGAGAAAGTCCTTTGAAACCTTGGTAGTACCCTAAACATTATTTTGCAAATAATGTTTTGCAAGACATTCACTATGGGAGTTCTAATGAAGATTTGAACAAACAAAACCAAATTATTGTTTCCTTATCAGTGCTTTCTAAGCCGCTCCTCTGTACACATCCGCCAACCACACACATAGCCAGGAGCACCTCCTTCTCTATTCAAAGAGAGGATTTGTTCTTAAATCTCAAGGTGACCTCTTTCAGCTTCATGCAAAATTGCAAGAGCTGTAGCTAAAGTTTTGCAAGCTTTGCCATTCCCTCTGCCCACTGCTAACTTTCCTACTTCTTGTAACATGTAATACAGCAGACTCAGAGCTGTAGCTGTTGCCAGAACAGTAGATAACACACAGATCCTGCACTGTGTAGAAGAGGGGCCTACCAGACTTCTTGAACTTCTCTCACCAGTTCATGTCCATTAATACAATGATGCCTTCACACTCTAAACCGGAGAACATCAGCACTGTCTTTGTGGGGCTGAGCCTACATTAAACCTCCTAAAATAGTAGGGTTTGGCCTGCAGAGCATGGCCTAGAGCTGGAAAGAGCAGTAGCATCTCAAACATTTCTTTGGCTGCTAGATAGCTACTTCAGAACCACATGTTTAAGACAGTTTATTGCAGTTTGCCAGAAGACCTGGCCTGTTATCACTGGCTTTGGCAGACGATGTAACATATTTTGCAAATGGTACCTTCTGATGGTTGTGCTTGCTGCTGCAGTCAGCGGGAGGACAGGTAGCATCATTGGCTCTTGACATCTTTGTGGTGGCTGATGACTTTCTGCCTTTAAACAGAAGTAAAAGCTATTGCCAGTCCATGCAACACAAAGGCTGCTGTCGCCCAGCACAGCTTCTTGCACTAGCTCTTTCCCACACTGAGTCACTCCTGGAAATGTTTGTCTTTATGACCATTTTTTTCTTCTAGAATGTGCCATTATCCTGTAACTGCTCTAAGCATGCTGGAGTAAAGCCTTGGGCCAGTAAGAGGTATACAACTCTAGGGCAGGGGCTGTTGGGGGAGAGAGCAGGCCAGGTTCAGGAGAACATCAGGCTCCCAGTTCAGCTTTGATGTTTTTGTCACTGGGGAGCAGGAGTTCCCTTAAGTGTTGTGTACTGCAGTGGCAGAACCAGAGAGCTTGCAAAAGGGGTGAATCAGAGCACTGGGACTTTAAAACAAAAAACAACATAATTTAAAAAAAAAAAAAGAAAAATCACTCTTCACTAATCCCAAATGCTTCTCTATCAGGGCAGGCCAGCTGGGGCTCTCTAGTGTTCTTAGCTTAGGCACCTGCATCGCTGCTCCAGTTCAGTTCACCATTAGTGACCTCTACTGTATTTTGAGTCCAACCAACCTGTAAGCCAAAAAAACCCTGTTACAAAGTTTAGCTGTAGGATGCACTTTCTGGAGTGGTGTGTAGCTCCCTCAGCACAGGCCGCTCCTTTACAGGACCAGCCTGATGGCTTGAGCCAGGACACACACCATATCTCATCCCTCAAAGGAGGGACACTGGTTGAGCGAACATGAGGCAAGGCCAAGAGAGCTGGGACAGTTTAACCAAGAGAAGAGAAGGCTCAGGGAATCTCATCAGTGTGTACACATACCTGAAGGGGAGGGTACAAAGAGGACGGGGCCAGGCTCTTTTCAGTGGAGCAGTGAGAGGACCAGAGGCAATGGGCACACACCGAAACACAGGAGGTGCCGTCTGAACATCAGGAAACACTTTCCTACTGTGAAGGTGACAGAGCACTTACACATGCTGCCCAGAGAGGTTGTGGAATCTCCATCCTTGGAGACATGGTCCTGGGCAACTGGCTCTAGGTGTCCCTGCTTGAGCAGGGGGGTTGGACAAGATGACTTCCACAGTTCCCTTCCAACCTCAACCAGTCTGTGATACAAGTATGACCTCACTCTGCTCCCAAAATATAGAAACTAATAGCAAAAAAAAACCCCAAAACCCAAAGCAAGTATGAACAGTAAATCCTTTCAGATCTTCCAGTAAAGCACCCAGGAGGTATTCCATGGCTTGACCTGTAGGGCTGGCTGCCAGGCTGCATGCAGAAAATGCATGAAACTCCTCTCCAAAAGCCACTTTATTTCAAGGCTCAGCTTGACCATCAATACTCTGCTTTAATACATCCTGCTGCCCACTCCATACCTGAAGGCTTTCCCTTCACCAACACTCCTTTCGCAGGAGAAATACACAATAAAGCAGAATTCACCATTTAATTTAAGTTTTAGCAAATACTGTGCTATGTGGCCAAGAAGGAGAGCCCTCATCCACTGTAGCTGTTGTGCTGCCTCCCAGTAAACAGCACATTAGCTCTTACCTCTTTGTCTGGTGGACCTCACTAGCAATGTAGGCGTGTGGTATCTTCAGCCACTCAACTGCATCCATACGTTGCCGGCTCAAAGGAAGCAGTGGCAGTTCTGCTTTACTGAGTTGGTTCAGCTCTCTGGTAGAACACGGCCTTCCTGGCAGGAAAGTTACAAGTGCTTCGTGTGAACGTCTACTGTCACAAGTAAGGATGGCCCCCCAATATGCAACACTTCCAAGGGATACCAATTGTTTAAAATACCTGTCTCACACTGCTTGATAATGCCTGTCTCAATAAACTTTCTTTGAATGTCTTTTAACAGAGGATCCTGTAAAGTTGGTATTGAAACCTGTGACAGAGACAGTTATTTCATGCTTACGCACCAACACAAGCACTTTGTGAGAGTCCCAAAAGACCAAAGTCAGAGGTAAATGTCAAGGTACCATTGGTTAGCAGGGAAGGAACATCAACCTCATTTTTTATGAATAAAAACATGAGGCACAGACCTGACCGGCCTGAGAAACACTGAGCATCTCAGCTCCTAATGCAGGGCATAATGCATTCAACAACTCTGCTACAAAGTTTGAACACAGACATGAGATCTGATCTCCTGGAGGCAGTTATCTTGATGAACCCTGCGTGGCACATCACAGTGAAGTATCAGCTCAGTCCCTGTAGCTGCTGAGGGCTCACAGCATCCAGAAGGGACTTTGAGAACTGCACTTCATGGATTTGTGTCAGAGTCCTACCTAATTCTATTAGGTACCCAAGTCTTTGGTGCATTTGAGCGAGCTTCTGTAAAGATCATCTGAACTGTCAGATTATTTCCTTCTACAGCGCACACACCCAGCTTGCCTGGGAACTCACCAACCCTCGTTAGACAGTACACTTCCCACACTGCCACAGTGAATTTGAGATGAGGAAAACAAACCTCCCCCCCACCATTGCCTACTGTGCCTCCAAATCTGGGCTTAGTATGGATCAAAACCATATTCCCGGTGAAAATCATTTTCAAACACTCTTCGGCTTAAATGCAGTAGGAGCTGGGACCCATATTTGTTCAGTTAATAAAACTACAATGTGTTGCTCTACACTAGTCCTGTAGCAGCACATCAGTGACACTCTCTGCCTCCTCTCTAACCATTAACTTCCTGCCAGTCAAAGGGTCCCTGTAAACCTCACAGCATAAATAACCATCACACCTTCCAGCAGTCTGTACACGTCTTCAGGAAGAACGGATCGTACTCTGATGGGTCGTAAGCTTCCAAAGCCACATAGCCCTGCAGGAGAAGAAGGTAGTGGGTCAAATCTCAGAAGCTAATGGTGATAAAACAGTGAGAGAGCAGCCAGCCTAGGTATTACAGAGCCAGGCATGGTATGAACACAGGACCAGAAGTGATGGAGGAAAGGACTCCTGAATTTTCACACACTGCACCTCAGAAGGAAGGTGACTGAAGCATAACAGGAAAATTCCTCCATCCATTTTAATTTACCATAGGCATAAATAAAAAATAAATTATTTCATGAAGCATCCAGAAATAATTATAGGCTAAAATGCTAATCACAACTAGGGCAGTCAAGAAAATGGAAATTTCATTCAAGAGAAAATGTTTTGACCAAGAAAGAAACAGATATTAGAAAGAAAAGGAAAAAAGAAGTGACTGAGCTCTCACCAGCCATAGGCCTAGGCAAGTTACCAGTCTGTAAGATGTGATCTCCAAGTCTAGGTCATGAGCGTGCTTTTCTGTCTATATAGAGGGGTAAAGACCTACCTGAACCATACCTAATGGTCCAGACCACAGCTCCATCTCATCAAGAACTCTGCCTGCAACAAACTTCAGATTCTGCAGTTCAAGTTCCCTATGACCAGAGTTAGCTGGGGAACAGCAAGTACCACCACTAAGCATTCACTATTGATTGCAAGACCAAAGAACACCAGATCAAACAGGCTATCAAGAAGCTGAATGGAGACTGAGGTCAACACACTGATCAAGACTGATGCTGAGAAAGGTGAATTACAATAATTTATCTCCAAATTATAATGTACTGTTTACAGCCAATAAGCCAGGATTTACATCAAATTGCATCAAATAAGAGCTGTATAGATGACAAAACAAAATGTATAAGTAAAAAAAAAAAAAAAAAAAAAACAGAGGCCACAATTGATGCCCTAAGAATAGTAAGAACAGGGCAACCATATAAAATACTTCTCCTTACTACTCTCAGTCATTCTTCCAAAACCTTGCAAATGAAGTTTTTCAGCTTTCTTGTGCAGATGATTCTCCAGGGGTCCCATGAAGAAAAGGGAGCACTCAGGCCATGGCCCTCTAGGTCTCAGTCCTACACAGTTCTTTTTGGCTATCTGTGGATGTGATTTCAAGTTGAGAGTTGGAAAAACCATACTTTATCATGAACAGTTCAGGAGTGCTGCAAGATGAGTCCAAACCCAAAAAAGTGGGATCTGCAGTAGATTTAAGAGGTCACTGTGTTGAAGGTGCTCACGTGGGCGAGTGAGCCAGACCTCAAGGGCCTGTGCTGTTCCCAGGCACTCAGCAGGCAGCTGGGCAGCTCCGTGGGGCTTGAGCTACTGCTGAGCATGAACACTGCTGCCTCTGCAGGGGCCTCTGCTCCCCAGGATCTGACAATTCCCCAGAGAGCAACCAGCAGCCACACTCACCATCTCCTGTTTCTGTCCATGGAAAGCTGTAAGCCCTAACATGTCTCAGTTTGCAGAGTTTTAGTGCCACCCCTTGGTTTATTATTACATATCACCCCATTACAATATGTGCAGAGACCTCAGCTGATAATGCTAGGTGCTGTGCAGCACACCCATGTTTGATCCCTTCATGCAGTCGATGTGTTATCACTCACACAGCCCTTGGCAGAAAGAGCAACAGCCTTAATAACAGCCTTTAACAGCCTGATGCTCTTAAAAACAGAAGGGTCTCTCACTCTGCAGCATTTCAGCATACAATGCCTACAATATCCTGGACTACCAGAAGCTGAGTTGTGGCTAAGACAGCAGCAACCCAGGCTGGGGAAAATTCCCCCTCCTTGCAGGCTGCAGCATGGCACTTCTGCTGATGCTAGAACAAAAGCAGAGCTGCTGCCATGTTCATGCTATGACCAACCACCTCATTATACATCTGCAGTCCATGTCCCTGGGACTAGGGGTAAGGAAGAGGTGAGAATGGGGGTGACAAGGAGGCAGATTTAAGGAAAAAAAACCCACAGATGAGCAGGTCACTGGAACAACAGAGAGTCAAGGAAGGGAGGTAAAGGAGGAATGCTCAGATGGCGTGTAAAAGGAGGCAGAAAAGTAAGCTGACAGAAAGATGAGATGAAGGAACCTGGAAGGACAGTGAGGAGAGAGTTAAGAGGGGAGGAGTAAAATGGAGGAAAGGAGAAGGCAGCTTTGGAAAGCAAATGACAGTGAAGAACTTGGAAGAATCATCAGAAGCAACAAGGAGAGGGAAACACAGCACTGGGGAGTCTGACAGAAAAGAGGGGCAGAACAGTGAGAGACTTGGGGATGGAATAAAAGGGTTGCCTGGAGAAAGAAAGAGAGCAATAGGAGAGTAGGAGAGCCTAGAGGAAGAAGAATAGATATGGAAAGGGGGAGTGGGTGAGTGACAGAGACAGGAAGGTGAGGAGAGGTGGGGAACAGGACAAGGAGAAGCCTAATAGCAGGGAAGAGAGCACGAGAAAATGGACAAAAAGAAGAGAGAGGAGAGAAAAAAATGCACAGCCAGAAGTCAGTATATTAACCAATCCACAGAATTGTCTTAAGTTCTGCAAAATCTATCATATGCTGCCAGGATTAATGCAAACTTAGGCAAATTAATTGTCCTATTATTCTGACGAGCTTCAGCCTGCTTTTCAGACATGCTGATGATAGAGCTGACACCACAGAGCAAGGAGAAAAGGTGGAGGCTAATCAGTGGTGCTGTGCTTGTTCAGGGAGAAGGAGACATCCCAGTACGCCAGCCATTGCTTTTGGAGGACACCCAGCAAAGTCCTGACCTGACACAGAAGCTTGCAAGATGGACTGATGAAGACCCAAATAAGTACAGTACACCCAACATATCCTAAATACCAGGACTTCAGCAGGACTGGTTCAGCTCTTTGTCATCACATGCAGTTTAAATGCATGGGTCTTTCACATCAGACCTTTGGAAAAGAGATCATTTGCTCTCATTAAAACAACACAGCTCCCATGACATTTTCATTTATGGGTGGGAAGCTTGTTTACAGTCTCATAACTCCACTGTGCAGTGGTTTCCACTGACAACAAAACCCTGCTCTATATAAAATACTACTCTATTTCTGGCAGATGATGTAACTGCTCTTATTGCTCTATATATCCACTCCTGAGATGCAGAAAGTTGAGTCATGGGATCTGATACTCAACAGTGGTGTGAAATTCAGAGCAAAACCAACAAAACCAACAAGTATTTCCTACAGTGACTGCAATTTTTGACTACTGAAACACACAGATGTACAGAATCCATGAGCTGGGTCTATTCACCTGCAAGCAGACCTAAGAAAAATGTTGGTGTCTCCCTGTTCCCACCTTTTTTTCTTCTATACAGCTTGATCAGTAGAATCCAAGGCCATGAACACATTTCACTCATGCTCTGCCAACTTACTGCAGTACTGCTCTAGCTTAACTCCTGAGACATGAGACTGCAGTCCACTCCCTGGTCACAGGCTCATCCTTTGGCTTCAGCTGACAGAGCTCAAGGTTTTCCCTCTAAATGGTCCAGCTCACAGAGGGAAACCCACCACAATATGATGTCTCACTCTATTCAGACCCCAGCACATGCTCACTGCACCAAACAGCTGTAACGACGTATGTCACCATGACAGAAGTCCTTGGGAAGAACAAGTTACAGGTAGGGCATATCTGAACTCCAGGCTACTCAACTGAACAGCAAGTAACAACTAAACCCCTGATCTTGTCCACAACTCTTTGTAGGCAACCCTCTCCATGACATAAATTTACTTCTCATTGTTACCTTCTTTTTACAGTAGTTTAAATAGAGAGACAGTTGTTCTTCTTTCCTTTTCTCTATTTCTTTGCTTGACTGGCTGTCCATTTTGTCCTCAATTTTCTGCAGCAGTGGCTCTGAAACATCCTCAAGCCATTTCTTGTAAAGGATCTCCTTCTTTCTCAGATTTAAGAAATCATTGTGGCTTAAATATCTGTCCAACTCCTAAGAAATGGAAAATAAAAACCATCCAACCTTGTCATGGTTTAACCCCAGCCAGCAACTAAGCACCACACAGCGGCTCACTCATGTGCCCCCCACCCAGTGGGATGGGGGAGAGAATTAGGAAAAAAGTAAAACTTGTGGGTTGAGATAAGAACAGTTTAATAGAAGAGAAAGGAAGAAAATAATAATGATAACAATAATAAAATGACAACAATAATAATAAAAGAATTGGAATATACAAAACAAGTGATGCACAATGCAATTGCTCACCACTCACCGACCAATGCCCAATTAGTTCCCGATCAGCGATCCCCCCACCCCAGCCAACTCCCCCCAGTTTATATACTGGCATGACGTCACATGGTATGGAATACCCTTTTGGCCAGTTTGGGTCAGGTGCCCTGGCTATGTCCCCTCCCAATTTCTTGTGCCCCTCCAGCCTTCTTGCTGGCTGGCCAGGAGAAGCTGAAAAATCCTTGACTTGGTATAAACTACTTAGCAACAACTGAAAACATCAGTGTGTTACCAACATTCTTCTCATATTGAACCCAAAACACAGCACTATACCAGCTACTAGAAAGAAAATTAACTGTATCCCAGCTGAAACCAGGACAAACCCATTGGCCAACCACATTAAAGATTCCACAGGTGGTGCCATGCAGCTTGGCTGACCTGATCTGACTGGTCACTGCTGCAAGGGCCCCGTTTTCCCTGTGCTCCTCCCTCTCTCCACTTCGTACCACTTGTTTCCAAGCTCCCCTCCCACAAGCTCTGGCATTCAGACTCTAATTTTTTAAGCAGTAAGTGCAAGACTGGCAGAAAATCATTCACTTTCTCCCGCCAGGTTAGTGAGCTGCAATCACCTCAGAGCACGGGTCTGACAAGCACCAGACTGTGCAAGACAGGCAGCAGAAGGACATTTTCCCTGCAGCAGTGGCAATCTACTAGATCAGATCAGCCCTCCTGCCCTTTATTCACAGGCCCACCATCACCATTTAATCACACCCACAGAACAAAAGTTAGGTGCAAACAGGCAAGTCACTAAAGACAGATGATTCCTAAACTCATATTTAGTTACCACTTCAGCCCTATCCCGAGAAGAATGAGGAGGCCATAAGTTTATACTTCTAAATTTAGTTTTTCAAGAATACAGACAATTGACATTTTCTCATGAATCACCGATGGAGAGAAAAAACATTGACATGCAGGAAAGCGCACAGCAAATGAGATGAAGAGATACCACTTCTTACCCTCACAAAATAATTTTCTCTGTCCAAGATGCACTGAGCAGAAGCAATGACATCTCGACTTTCATCAGGTGCTGCCTAACAAAACATCAAAAAAACACATGAAGTAAAAGCAGGACTTACAGTAGGAGTTAGAATTACTTTTGAATTCAAAATAATTACTTGTGGTGTTATTAAAGACACATTATACCATAACCCAGCTGGCAGAATAGCACAGGTAGGCAAATCCTTGAGACACTTGCTCTGAACTGTTAGGTTAAATGTAGCAACAGAAGAGTGTGGGGAGAACTGCAATGTGCATGTTCAGCGGGACCAGACGATACACCTCCCTGGCCACTCCTCACCGCAACCGCACCACCACTTGCTCCTTGCCACTGTTGCTCACATACACCTGATGAAGGCAGCAAGAGGCATCTCTCTGCACCTTCATTTTCAGTACAGATACAGCCACGCTATACAAATAGCAATCAAACAAATCAAAACTATCATGAGGTATTACATCAAGGAATTCATAGAAGTATAAAAGAAAAATAGAGGAAAACAGTGAAGTGTAAGAGGAAAGATAATGAGAAAACCCCCTCCAAAGCAGGAAACTGCCTCGCTGCTGTGTCTGCTCATGAATTTGTCTGCATTTTAAATCTCAGTTACTGTTGTGACATCAGCCAAGTTCTCCTCTGGCATCATCCTCATCTTACTCTTTCTGAAGATCAGAATAGGGAGAAATTGTTCCCTGAATCATGAATATGAGGTCACTAAAACATGATTTAAGAACAACCCTTGCGATGTACTGCTGTTGTCGATTTGGTTTTTAAACAGGTAATTCCTTGTAACATGTGCCTTATTAACTGCAACTCCTGCACTCCGGCCAAGAAGCACAAGCCACACAGGCTGAATTCATCTATCATTTGGGGATGGAGTCCCTCCAGGCAAGATTAGAGCACACACGCAATGGGGCTATCTCCCCTATGGTCAGGCAGCACCAAATCTGTGGGTTAACCAGAGGGATCTTGTCTTTATGAGTCAATCAGCAGCTTTTATAAGCAAAAAGTTCACAAGGAATTTTAATTCCATGGCAAAATTATCTTGAAGAATCCGCTATAAAAAAAAAAATTACCAGCTTTTCAGCATTATGCTAAAAATTCAGGTGGTAAGTTGCAATGCAGGAAACTAAAAGACAACCTGTATTAGACAGACCATCTCAGTTAAGCTAAAACAAATTTAAAATCTGGATTAAGCTTTCCGGGACTAACCCTCTGTTCAAACACTGATAGGACCTTGCTTCACTTGTACCAGCTTAGCCTAAGAGAACAGGCATGCAACTGAGTTCCTACAGCTTAACAAAAGACCACATTAGCTGCTTTGGTGTATATGGCACGCTCACAGCCTGTCCTAACCGAGAAATAAGGCTCAGCTAGTGCGTCGTATGATTGCCATCACTTTCAAGTTTGCATTTCGCAAGAGTTGCACAGATGCTAATACCAGCTTAGGTATCACTAAAAGTTTAAATCTGTTTCAGTACATCCATACTAAATATTTCTACCAACACAAGTTAATCCTCAAGTGACCTGATTTTACTTAGATGTAAGACAGAGGCAGGGCTGAAACATTCATGTTTCATCTGTTTGACCTGCTGCCTAGGTCCTGTGGTTTCCATAGATGAATTCAGAGTCATCCCTGCTGTGACCTTCTTGTGCCATTTAAAAACTGAGCTACAGCCACTGCATTTTTGCACAAGCCTACCATGCCAGTGGCAGCTCAAGACTCAAGGAATGCATCTGATGCACAGAATGGAAAATTAGCCTGCTACTCCCTGTGCTTTGTATTAATTTTTAATCCCAATAAACAGTGTAGTTTCCAGTCACGTCTGCCTTGATCCCATTGACCAGCTCCACACTCCAACAGGCTTCATATCCTGAGATGAGCAGGACATCCAGGCATCCGAGCAAGCAGGGAGGAGACAAGCAGTATAAAAAACAAAGAAAAACAAATGAGAGAGGAGAAATCTAAATTTCTGGCATGTTTAGGAGCCTTTCATCCTACTATTTGAAACAACTGGCATGTTGCATTACACCTGACAGATCTACTTCACATAATCACAGAACCTTTCTAAAACTAGTACCTTAACAGCACCAGGGAGACATGGCCATCTCTCCTGATGAAAAGAACCACTAGCAGAACGTACTCAGAACACACATTGGTGAATAGGTGAGAAGTTTTCCTTCAGGATGATACATGTCTGAAGAATCCTTACAGACCAAAGGAGTTAGGTCTCCTTCAACTGAAGGAGTTAGGTTTCTTCTCCCTGGAGAAGAGAAGGCTCAGGGGGAACCTTATGCCAGTATGCCAGTACTGAAAGGATGGCTACAAAGAAGACGGAGGCTCTCTCTTCACAAGGAGCCACATGGAGAAGACAAGGGGCAACGGGTACAAGTTGCATTGGGAGAGGTTTCATCTCAACATAAGAAAGAATTTTTATCAGTGAGATCAATCATTCTCCTGGAACAACCTTCATTCTCATGGAACAACCTCCCCAAGGATGTGGTGGAGTCCCCATCACTGGAGGTTTTCAAGATGTGATTGGACAGGGTGCTGGATACTCTCATCCAGTGTCACTTTTCCATGAAAAGTTGGACCAAATGATATTTCAAGGTCCCTTCCAGCCTGGGCTGTTCTATGAGTCTATGCTTCTAACTAGTCACAAGCTTGTTTAAGGTTTTATGGGAAACTTTTGCACATACCTAATTGCATGGAACTCAATAAAGCAGCCTCAAAAGGATGCAAGGGCTCGATAAAACCCACTGAATTGCTATTTCCAGAGTTCTTTGTTCCCCTTCCCAAAAACAAACATATCTCAGGTTTTACAGAACTTTGCAAATAACCATTTTTCATTCTTCCGTTCATACCTTCCATTCTATTTCATTCCTCCACTTATACCTTCACATGACAGAAGTCTTACTGTGTTAGCCAACCTTTGGTACTATTTTTCTTCCCAAAATGTCTACTGCAGTCAAAAGTATTTGCTGCACCACTCTTTGTTGGTGCTGAGGAGAACCTCTGGTAAATGTAAAAAAAGGAAGAGGTCTGCATAAAAAGCCAACCTGCTTTACAAAGATCAGGTTCTCATCTAGGTTCCACAATCAAGCTACAAACTGGGATAGAATGGTAAGAAGTTCACCTAACATCTTCACACCGTGCTGCCTTGCAAACCTTGTTATTTCTGTGCAGGAAGTACAACAAAGCATTCTTGTAGCAGTTCTCGGGAATACTTCAGGATAGGAGGTGGAGAACATTTCACAGAGATGAAACAGAAACAATGGACATTGGGATATCCCAATTTAAAGCCACTTTTGGGATTTCTCTAGAAGATTCATGCCATACTTGAACACTAGACAGATTCAACCTACAACAAGCTGACAGGAAGGACAGAGCACACACATCTTCCTGTAATACACATTTCTGAGCATGCCTACAGGGGACAGAGTAAAGCACAACTGTTCGTGCTGAGAAGGACTCACAAATGAATTCAGGCACATGCCAGGGATGGCGTCCTGGAGCAGATAGACAGACCAGATCACTGTCCAGAACTTCAGTGGTATTAGGTGGCCAGTTCCAAGACAGGAGCTCAATTACATCCAAATATCCTGGGATGCCAGTTATAGATACTGGTGTCATGTGTCCTGAACTTTGCTACTTCACAGTAGAATCTACAGCTGAAGAAAGGAATGTTGAGAGTCACTCACCTGCCAAGGCCTTTGCTGAGTGTGTTCCCTCACAGGTCTCGGACACGTAAATCTTAGTAGCCAGGGAGTCTCTGAGCTATTCACACTACGCATTGTTGGACTAGTCTGGGAGAAACATTAAAACATTCAAAAACATATAAAACTATTGTATAAACAGCAACAACCTAGTTTTCTCACAACTCCCACCAAACAATGAAACAAATCTCTAAAGGAATTCTAACTGCTGATACCAGCAGCATTTTCCTATCACAGTTAAGTTAAACAGAGAGATAAAGTATCAGGTGTATAGTCAGACACTCCCTCTGATAGTAACTGTCTGTCCTCATCTCCATAAGCAATGGAGAGTACATTTTGTTTCAAAGAACAAAGTGATTCACAAATTATTCCAGAATGCTTGTCAGCTTTGAAAATATTTCAGAGTTATCAAATTCCACCTCCTGACTTTTACTTCTTTCTTTTGTGCTTTTTTCAATTACATAAAAGTCAGTTTCAAATTACTGCTACATTCCACCCTAGGGATGGTTGCATTTTAGTGGTTTTTAAAGATAGTTCTACCAGATGCACCTCATGCTGAAGCACTAAGTGAGCTCCAGCCAGAAAATTCCACCTCCTCTTGTTGTGGTTTAACCCCAGCAAGCAACTAAGCACCATGCAGCCACTCACTCACTCCTCCCACCTCCCAGTGGGATGGGGAGGAGAATTGGGAAAAAGAAGTAAACTCGTGGGTTGAGATAAGAACGGTTTAATGACTAACGTAAAATAAAATATAATAATAACACTAATAACAATATAATAGTAATGAAAAGGAAAAAAAAACAAGAGAGAGAGAAATTAGACCCAAGAAAAGACAAGGGATGCACAATGCAAGTGCTCACTACCCACTGATGGATGCCCAAGCAGCAATCTGGGCCTTCCAGCCAACTCCTCCCAGTTTATATACTGAGCATGATGTCCTATGGTATGGAGTATCCCTTTGGGATAGTTGGGGTCAGCTGTCCTGGCCATGCTCCCTCCCAGCTTCTTGTGCACCTGCTCGTTTGCAGAGCACGGGAAACTGAAAAATCCTTAACTTAGGATAAGCGCTACTTAGCAACAACTAAAACATCAGTGTGTTATCAACATTACTGTCACACTAAATCCAAAACACAATGTACCAGCTACTAAAAAGAAAATTAACTCTATCCCAGCCAAAACCAGGACACCTCTATTGTACGTGCACCAGTACATTTGGATCAATTTATAATAGAGACAGTAGAACCACAGAGGCAAAATGCTCTTTACCACAACCTCTATTTATTTCAGATTCACTGGAGACACACTGCTTCCAGGAAACGATGTGTTCACAAAATTACTTGGGTAAAGATCGGACCAAAAGAAAAGCTTACTTCTGCAGAGATACTGACCTCCACACTCTTCAATCAGATGTTTCAGCTATGAAAAAAATCTGTTCTTCAATTATTTTTGTCAACACCTAGTTAAAAAAAATCTACAAAGACTCTCTGAATCAGGTATTTGTACAAGATAACAACATTTTTTTGTACAAGACAACTTTTAAGAGTTTAATCTGTCCAACCCAGCACTTCAGTGATACTATGACTCCCAACTGACCTCTCTAGACTGCAGATTCAAATCTCTTACCACTGGTTCAAGGTGAAGTCTTTAATCTACACTTTATTTGTTTCATTTCATATTCCCTGCTCTTATGCACTGATAGACACATCTGCCTGGGTATTCCTCCCTCCTCACAGAAATGCTTTCCTGTCTTTTCTGACTGAAAGAGTCAGAAGCCACAGGAAAACATAGGTCAGAAGGGACCTCTGGAGGTCATCTAGTCCCACTGCCTGCTTGAAGAACAGCTAACCTCATAGACAAGATTGCTCATGACCTCGCCCAGTCAAGTTTTGAAAATTTCCTTCCTCAAATTTGCAAGCTCCTATTTTTCACTCCAACTGCATCTATAAAAGAAAAATACTCACTTCCGCCATGTAATCCAGGACAAACCAAAGCAAGGAAAGAAGCCAATGTAATGCACATCGTATCAACAACTTTCCTTCCCTCCTGCATAACTTTGCAAGATGTCTATTCTTTCATCATGCACAAGGAAAAATAACCAATTTGCAGTGGAATAGGTGACAACATCCCAATCCTCTACTGTATTTTTTTCAGCCCTTGTAAGAGAGCTTCCAAACCCAGAAATACATACTAGCCCTAGCATTGTGGCAGGCTAGCAGGCACTTCCTCTAACATGATTTCCTGCCTTCTCTGTACAGAGGAGACAAAAGACACAGAGTAAAATAGGAGCTTACAATTAGGACACTACTACGTGATTTGGAAAGCAGGTACGCTGCCTATCTCCATCTGGAAATGAAGATTTTTTTGTCTACATGTGCCTGTGGTTTCTGCAGTGTTGTGCCTGCCATGGAGGCTGGTGTTCCCTCTGAGAAGTCCCCTGCTCTGAAAACGATCTCCCCTTTTTCCAGCCAGCCCGAGTCTACTAAGCTTCAGGGAACGCTGCAAAGCATATCTGACCTCATGGTCTCTGAGGAGCAGGGGAATGACCCTCACAGTTTATTCTTCATCCTGCAATGACCGATTAAAGGAGGCTGCGCGCTGCATTACCTACATGGATAAATAACAGCAAGCACACCCTGATTAGCACTGAACTAATTTCTGATAGAAAATAAACAGGCAAACAGTGAGGACTGAAGAACATCTGGATACTTCAGGTGCTACAAACTTGGTATTAGACAAGTCAACATACTTTCTTATGAGCAGTATATCCTACCTACCTGCAAAGGTGCCACAGGCTCCTGCTTCAGGCCATCTTTTGCAGATTACCTTCCACTCAAAGCAGTTTTGTTCTTTGGAGATAGGGATGCTGTAAATCCCTAGACAAGCTTAAGATGAAGAAAATACATATTTGTATAGTTTTTAAGTTTACAGGACAAACAAACAAAAACCTCCACTAGCCTCATTTCCACCTGTTTTCAGTAACTAGTATTAAGACTCCATCCATCTTACAAAGAAAGACTGAGCCCTTCTGTGAGCACAAAGCAAAGGAAATGTTTGCTGTCATCACAGAGAACTGGGAACCCAGGAGAAACAAAATAGAGCAAACATTAAAAATCTGCCTCCTGTAGCAATCTGCTTTAAAGAAATCACATGTGGTAACATCTCTAGCTGCAGACTTTTTTTTCCCCTATCTTAATAACTAAAGCTGCCACTTAATCTTTTCTTTTTCCATTTTGTTTGGACTCTTGCTATGAGATGTCAACTTTCCACAGTTGGCAAAGGCAGGGGCCCACTTATATGAGATACCAGCTGTTTTGCCAGCCTTAAAACTAAAAGTTTAATCATGTGTTGGGACAGAAACACAGTAAAGGATTTCCAAAGTCTGAACAGATAAAACAAGATTTGAAGTTAATCTCACAGTTGTGTCCGCAAATGCTAAACCCCACAAGCAGGTTGGCTGTTCTGTATTAGGACATTTGTTTTACCACAATCAAACCTGAGAATAACCCTGCCTAAAATTTCTTGCTAGATGTACCTGCATCCTGCTTTGCTGTCAGCAGTACAGCTTTGTATCAGTAATTTTTTTAAAGACAGGTTTCTCTTGCTTCATGAGTCCTGTTCATTTCAGAACATTTTCCCCCAACCACCCATCTGCTAAAATTCACACACAGTCTCTGCCCAAACAGGAGTCTTTGCAGTAGCTTTGAGAAGACAAATTTTAATAATTTCTGTGACAAAAAGTAAGCATCCTCATACGTGCCTCAGTCCTCTCAAAAGCCCCTTTCTGACAAGAGCCTTTATGCAGGCCACGCCTGTAGCCTCACATGTCACCGTCTCCTCAGCATACGTGGATGTCACCCTTTGCAAGTACGGCTGGCTGCCTTTACCGGTGGCTTGGTCCCAACAGATTCCCTCAGGTGCCGGGACAGAGTAGGAGGAGAGAACCAGCCTCTAGGGCAAACAGGGCAGCTCTATGAACAGAACCTTGCAGTTTGTGAATGCTAAGCTAACAGATAACGTGCCACCCGTCCAGAGGGCCCACAGGCATGGCCCTGGCCCCTCCACCTCGGAGGCAGCGATGGGGCCAACACCGGTGAGAGGGGAAGGCCGACCCCCCCAGGGCCGCAGGGGCCCAGCCTGCCCCGCACCCTGCCCAGCCCTGAGGCGCGACCCACAGGCCCGAGGGGAGGCGAGGGCAGTCAGCAGAGCTCCGTGCTCCCCCCGTCCGCCACACTCCCGTGCAGGGATGCCCTCACCGGCTCCAGCGAGGCTCCGGGAGGCCCCAGGGGAGGCAGGAAGCCGCCACGGCAG